CCCCCCCCCCCGCACCTCCCAGTGTTGCCAACTCCACTCTCTTCATGGCCTGGATCCAGGGATCCAAATAAGCCTTGTCTTTTCCCCTCTGGTGTCTCCCTGGAGGTTTTCAGAGCAAGTTTCAAACAGGCACAGATGACACTTTCATTTTGCTGAGATGGAATTCCTGTCACCAGGCCTGGGCCGCACCTGAGGTCCCTGCTGGTCTCGGGATTTGGAGACACATCCTCCGTCCGTCCCCACCTGCAGCCACGTGTCCGTCGTTGGAGCTGGCGCCCCTTCCGTGTGTGCCCGCCATGCACATGCGGCTTAGTCCCCCGTATCGGGGGCCTTGTCATCCCCTCTGTCCTGGGAGGGAAGCAGCAGGGCAGTGGGGTGGGGTGTCCTGATAGAGAAGCCAGGGCAGCGTCCCGTTAGGGTGGACAGATGTTCTGCTCTTGCAACAAGCTGGCCGACTTCCTGCCGCCTCCTGCTCTAGTGGCCACTGCGACACAGTCCCCGTTTCCCAGGCAAATTGCTTTTCTCCTGGAGATTTCCCGCCCACCCCTCCCCCAGGCCCATCGGTAGGCATCAGCCGTGGGGAGAACAGATGTGGCTGGGGGAGGCCATGGGGAGCAGGGAGAGCTTCCTTTCCCTGCTTCCCAACCCTGCCCAGAGCAGAGAGCTTCTCCCAGGAGGGACACTGTCCACCACAGCGGCCAAGCTTCCCACAGGCCTCCATCCCTGCGGCCCCCAGCTCCTCCCTGGCCTGCCGGAGCCGAAGCATCGTGCAGGGATTAACTGGGCTCAGATGCTGAAGCAGGCAAGGGATCTGATGAGAAAGAATTTCCAGGAACTCAAGCCCAAAGCCCTCGCTCAGGCCAAGGCAGCCATAGCTGACCACGGGTTTTGGATGGTGGGCGGAAGGGGGGTGTGTGTGCATTGTGGCAAAGAGCCTGGTGTGGTGGCCCGAGGGCCAGGTAGGGTGTGGACCTGAGCTGACATGTCCCTGTTCGGAGCCCACCTCCCACTCTGCCTGTTGAGGACGGTGTCCCTGAGGAACTGGTAACCTGGAAACTGGGCCAAGGGCTGCCTGGACAGATGGGAAAAAGTGAGACGGAGAAGATGCAGCCGAGTTTCTGCCGGGAGAATGCTGGTTCCATGGCGCTGATGCAGGAGGCCGGGGACAGCCCCCCTCACCCCTTGAAATGTGCCCTGAACTGCACCCTGGGGGGTGGAGGCAGGTGGCCTTGGCTCCCCAGGGGTTCTGGTGAGTGTCCCAGCCCCTCCTGCTGTGGGCAGCCCAGGAGGTGGGGGGAGGGGCCTTAGGTCAGAAAGTGCTGGCTCAGGCCCCTCCCTGCCCAGGGTCGATGCCGTTGTTTTGAGTCAGTTTCTATGATGTTTGTTGAGCTCATGGGGTGAAATCACAGGCCCAACGCTGTCAGCAGCAGGAGGTGAGTGGGTCGTGCAGTGAGGTCTTCTGCTTGTGTAATCAGTCCGTCCATCCATTCAGCCATCTGTCTGTTTGCTCGGCAGACACGTCCCGGGTCGGTTCTGTACCACATCCCATGTGTGATGTGGTGCAGGGTAAGGAACATAAAGCTGGAGAGACATGCCCTGGCCCCTTCACAAGCTGTGTGACTTTGGACAGGTTGCTTGACCACTCTGAGCCATCTGGTTCATTGACCCATCTTTAAAATGAGGCTGGTAGGTGACTGAAGCAAACTGTGAGCTGTGGGTTAAGTAGATGAACATAGCTCAGGCACTTGATCAGCAGAGCATTTAGTTGATACTGGCTCCCCCTAATGGCCAGCAGCCCCAGGGGTGCAGGGGGAATGGAAACAGCGTAATAGGACATCACAGACTTCCCAGAGGGGCTGAGAGCAGAAGACCCAGGAGGAGAGAGCGTGTAAGTCTGCCTAGACAAGTTGGGGGGCTGCCTGGGGGACGTAGTGTTTCCACTGAGTTTCCCAGCATGAGCAGGTGTTTGCTGAGGCTGAAGAAGGCAAAGGCACTTCCGGGAGGGGCTGCAGGGGCCCAGCAGGTGCAGATAGCAGGCGAGAGAGGCCAGGCGGGAGGACCCGGGCACTCTTGGGCTGAGCGGTGGTGTTGGCAGCCAGAGTGGCAGGTGGTGGTCAGGTTGGGAGGGGCCTGAAGCCAGACTGTGGAGTTGCTGGCACCCACACAGTGAAAGCAAGCTCTCCTTTTCAGCAGGGAGAATCAGGACTCAGCTGAGTTTTGGAGAATATCTCTGGTGGCCAAGGGGAGGGTAGATGGAGAGGGAGGCCGAGGGTCAGGGGCCATTGGAGGTTGTTGCTGTGGTCCAGGTGGAAGGCGGTGGTGGCCTGAACTAGGGCAGAGGCTGTGGGGATGGAACAGATCCGAGTTTGTCTTTCTGTCTGGCATTCATTCGCTCATGATGTTTGTTGAGCTTGGGCTTGGGGCAGTCTTGAAATGTTCTGGGGGTACAGTGATGACCCCCACAGATGTGGGCCACACTCTTCTGAGGGGATTTTACACATGCATGTGCATCCGCACACACCTACACATGCACACACACATGCCTACACATACACACGCACACACACACACTCATTCACTGCTTCTGTGCGGGGCTATGAGTCTGGGCAGGGGCTCCTGGGACAAGTCACCCAGGACCTCGGGTTCAGGGTGAAAGGGATGAGGCAGGAACTGAGTCAGTCTGTTGTCATGAAAGATTGTCTTCATGGGACAAATCAATTCCTAAAAGTCCCTTTTCCTCAGACACAGTTATGAGCTCAGGGCACCCAGTATGAGAAGGCAAGGAGCAGAGGGAATCCAGAGACTGGCCCTGGGGATGGTCATGAAAAGGCAATATTTTTAGGGCTTGGTGCACACACACGCCTACACACGCACACATGCCTACACATAGACATGCACACTCATTCACTCCCTCTGCCCTCCCCTTATGCTAATTACACCCTCAGTAGATGCTCAGGGACGCTGTTTCTGACCCAGCCATTCCGGATTTCCGTTCGGTCCCGGAGCCTTGAGTCAGCAGTCTGGTCCTCAGCTCCCAGTTCTCACTGCTCCTGGTTCTCACTGCCCTGCTCGCAAGTAGGGCAGCCAGGTGTCAGGCTCCATGTCCTTGCTAATTAAGCATGGGAAGTAATTCACTCCAGACAGCTGACAACCGGCCTGCCTGGAACAGGCTGCTGCTCCCGGGCACCCCCTCTCTCTGCCTACGATGCAGGAACGACCTAGGGGTTTGGAGCTTCTGAGGGAGCTTGTTAGCGTTTTCTTCTTGGACGCAGTTCCACCCTGAACAGCCTCTGGGCCGAGGGGAACCCTCTTCCACTCCAGGTGGGCGGGTCCTACATTCCCAACCTGTTTCTCCAGAAACCAGCTTCCCAGTCAGTTTTGGCAGCTGGGAGACCTCATCTCTGTTTACAGCTGAGTGTTTTCCTTGAGAGGCCTCTTACTCCTCCTGCAAAGTAGCCTCCAAAACCAGTCAGCCTAAGCTCCAGAGGAACTCGACAGATTAACACATCACCATTCAGACCACATACAATACTTACGTGCTTTTCACAGAGACGGCAGCATTTTTATGGTGTCTGGGATTTTCTCTTCTTCTTGGAAATTGTTTTCCAGGAAGAAAGCTGAATAACATTGGGTATGTGTTTGAGCCCAAACAGAAGCGGTCACCTGGCCCAGGCAGGCCAGTCGGTTCCCTCCTCCCGGTTTTGAGGGAAACTTGACTTTATTCCTAGGTACGAGCTTCAGCTTTAGAGGTCAGAGTTTCATTTGGCCACACGCCTACCTTGGGCCCCCTGTTTGTTTTTACCTATGATCTTAAACCCAGTTTATAAGGGTAGTTACAGGAGAGGGTCTGGCTTATCTAAAGAAATTTGTTACACATGAGAAAGGCCATTTAAAATGAATCCACTTAATGGATCAAAATTTTGTGGCCATAGTGGGGGAAATGTTTAACTGGAACTTTACCTTAAAAAAAAAAAAAAAGAAAATTGCCAGGCCCGTGTGGCTCAGTGGTTGAGCATCGACCTAGGATCCAGAAGATCGCCGTTGGATCCCCGGTCAGGGCACATGCTGGGGTTGTGCGCTCGATCCCCAGCAGGGGGCGTGCGGGAGGCAGCCGCTCAGTGACTCTCATCATTGATGTTTCTCTCACTCTCCCCCCCTTTCTCTCTATGAAATCAATAAAAAATATTTTCTAAAATAAAAATTATGAAGAGGAGTTGCTTTCTATTTAACGAAACGTAGACTTTAACGATAACCATATGTTAATGTTTCGAAGGAGCAAAGAATTCCGGCTGCCTTTTTCTGCCAGATTCTCAGGGTTGCATATTTATCGCTTCACATTTGACCCTTGTGGCCCGAACAGCCCCTCTGTGGCACGTCCCGGAGCCGCCTGTCCCGTGCGCTCTCCTCCTAGCACTGGGGCCTGACCTGGGCACTGGGTCCTGACCCGGGCGCTGGGGCCTGACCCGGGCGCTGGGGCCTGACCAGGGCTCTGGGGCCTGACCTGGGCTCTGGGTCCTGACCTGGGCACTGGGGCCTGACCCGGGCGCTGGGGCCTGACCTGGGCACTGGAGTCTGACCTGGGCTCTGGGGCCTGACCTGGGCTCTGGGGCCTGACCTGGG